CTTGGCCGGGGAGGCGGTGGTCGAGGAGGCGGAGTTGGCGGTGGAGGATGGTGCTGTGGCGGCAGCGGTGGCGGCGGCGGCGGCGGCGGCGGACGAGGCTGAGGGACCCGCAGCCAGAAAGTCTCGCAAGGGCGTGCTGGCCCAGTTGCGCGAGCTGCGAGTCGCCGTCAGTGCCTTCTCGCCTTGCGAGCACAAAAACCTCATGCGGCTTGCCCAGATGTTCAATATGCTTAGGCCGGATATACGGATGGATACAGAATGGCCCACCGTGGTATTCTCGCGTGCGTGTTAGATACACTCCCTTTCCTCTTATGTGTAGCTCCATTTTTGCAGCTTCTTTTTCAGCAAATTTATTCAGTGTAAAACAAATAGGCAATAACGAGCTCAATCTTCCAAATACTGTCCATCGTTTTCTGTAACCTTGCGCCATCTATCAGGTAACGTAGGTATGCCATCACAAATGAAACCTACAGGCTTCAAAGCAATAAACTCGTCGACCACTAATTTACACACACCGTCCAGCGTTTTAGGAACTATTTTTCCACTAAAGCGTGCTGCTGCTGCTGCCACATTGACTAGAAAAAGTGGTAGTCGGGTGGGGCCAAGTCTGGTGATCATGCCGCGTGTGGCAGAGCTTCTCATCCCACGTTCAAGAGGGTCTTCTGAGTCGCGCAAGCAACGTGAAGTGGTCAAGCGTTGTCATGCAGCAGCAGCAGCGGCAGTATGACTTGCCTGTTTCCTTGCCCACTAAATGGCCTTTTCTGATCAAGTTTTTTTTCGGCCAGTTTGTTCAATTGTCGGGTGTGGCGTTGCTCAGTCACCGTCTGATGACCAGTTTACAGAAGTTCGTAGTAAAGTAAACCCTTAGTGTCCCACCACCACATACACATGATAACCTTCTTCCTTAAGTGGATGTCCTGTTTCGGCATTGATGGACTGCTGGGTGTCCCAGAATAAACTCACGAGGTATTGTCTTTCCGATTCTCGTAAAAGACGTAAGCTTTGTCACACGTCACAATGCTCAATGAGAATCCCATTGACTGGGTGTTGTCGGCGGGAGAGCAGTAAAAGGCGTGTTCATAGGTTGACCTGGGAGGTTGTGTCCAGTCAACAGACGTGAGGCTGCCCAACATTCACCTATTTGAGTTTTTCTCATTTGTTGGTGGAAGCGCTTGGAAATTGCCGTTTGGTTGACACCTGCTGCAAGCTCTTGTTGTGTTTGCGTAGAACTTTCGAGGCTGCTGTCCCGGGAATGACCTGTCACTGTGATCGAAATCACCACTTCTAAAATGGTTGCATCAATAGCTACGCGTTTCATAAAAAAAGCGTCGACAGCACCAAGTACACTACAAGTTTATTCCCTTTGTGGTTTAGAAGCCCTTGCTCCTTGTTGGAATTCGTATAAAATGCAGTGTCGTCGAATGTGGCGTTTATTAGTTGCCATCGTGGTACACTCTGCCATTGTGTGAGTCCATAAAACTCCCGTAGATTTGTGATTCGATGTTCTGAAAAAACCTTGTATGCGATCTTTTTAGATCGAAAGCACGTCTGTGAACATTAAGTCATGGGCCTAATGTTTCTCCCCTGCAGACCTTAGACGATGCCTTACATGCCTTCAAGGCGTAATGCCTAAATTGCCATGTTTTGTTTGCCTTTTGCCATAGGTGAATTGGCCGACAATGAGGTCTCTCAGGTCTCGCTTGCCCAACGCCACCAAAGTGCTTCCTCTGCCAGGAGAGCGCTGCCAACGCATCCACAACAGGCTCCCTCACCGCAGCAACGCCTTCAACAGCCGCCACCAACAGTTACGGCACCTGCCCAATCGCCTCGGCTCCCACCACAACCCCCACTGCCGCCGCAGCATCAGCAGCAGCAACAACAGCAACCGCTGCGACACATGGTCGCCACGCCAAATGACTACTCCGCGCCTTCACCTCACCAGACGCGAATGGTAAAAGCGTCTAGTGATCTAAGTTGTGTAAAGTGCCTTTTAATAGTACACAATGCAATGAGTCTAGGTTTTGTGAATTTGAACCGCTCGCCAAAGGTGGTAGTGCCTAGAATGTACGGGGTCTTTCAACGCCTCGAGTGTAATTTCCCTCTGGTAAACGACAAGTGTCTAGTAAACGTTGCTCTTGAACACTGCAGTCATTGGAGTTTTGTCTAAGCTGACCCCTCGCGGACCAATGATTCCTTGTTATTGTCTGCAAAACTACGAAAACGGTTTCATCTGTTGTACTGAAATCACGTTCACATCTAGTGACAAAGCCCAGCGTACTCTACTTTTAACTGCATAGCCAATAGCCGAATGTCGATTTTGCCGTAATCACTTGGAGAAGAATGTTGTGGTCAAATTTAATAGACTGCATAATTTAGACGTTGTCTCCAAGTCTCTATGGGACAGAATTGGCTGAAGGCGACTTTAATTACCTCTCAGCACAAATTCTACGCGTTGTGTCAAGCGTCGGACACACATTTTGATTCCAGAACCCTGCGAAGTCATTTATCGTATCCCTGTGCAGATAGCGAAACTGCCTTGCGTAATTTTGTCGGTTCTTCAGATGCAGAAATGCTATTTTTGCCCTGCTTGTCGTTTCCATTAGTCCTACGCGACGTGTAATGCACAGTGACGTGATGCACACAGCACAGTCAAGTCGCAGTATCTAATAGACGGTTGTTTCTCCACCTCCTTGCGTCTTATTTTCTCACTGGGTACATCGTGCTGTAATTGGCAATATCAGAACTTTTCCCAAAGGTGTGCACGTGAAGGCACTGTTCTCCCCTGTTTAAATGATTGTTGAACTATGCTGACATGCATTTAATCAATTTTAGCCGGTTGCAATGCAATACGCAAACAATGGTAACCAATTGGCTGGTGCCACCAATAGCCAACCACGTGCCACTCTCTCGGGTCCGAACTCAATTGAACCGCCACAAAGCCACCACATGCAACAGGCCGCGCAAATGTCCATGGGTCTAGCGGGACCAAACAGCGTGCCCGACGCTTTTGGTGGATATCAGACGTCGCATGCCTCACCCATGGCGCCAGCCTACACCCTGGTGCCACCCTCTTCCATGGAGAGCCAATCCGCGCGATCCTTGCACCAGCCAATGTCGGTTCAGCCGCAGCACCAATACTATTCTCCGATGGCCCCACCCTCTTACGAGGTATGTTGAGGGCCCACCCCCTGTATGTTGGCTTAAACCACGCCTGGGCAACTGCTTTGAATCAAACCCGATTACGCTATCCTGAGTAACCCCTAAGACGAAGAAGACCGGAGAGGACAAGGGGCAACCGTTTACTAGACAGCTCTGCGAAGTTGTGTTGTGTTGACTGATACAGTTGAATGGACTTCTGAATGGTCACATGGATAGAGCGATTGGTGGTGGTACTTACAGAGGGGTGAATGGGCAGGCAGTCCCAATGACTTTCGGGCACGCCGTGAAAAAAGGAAACGTGTTGTGAGGCTCCGACGACCCGCTTATTGGGTGCTAATCAATACGATTCACTACAGGTATTCGCATTGTTGAGGGTGCTCAATTAGTGAAACCTCTATGCGGCCTTGCAAAGGCAATTATGGTTTGCTATCGAAAACCTAAGCTACTAGCCTCCTCCCCCTTTTACTAAGCTGGTATTTTCAACTAAGGTTCCCTATTTTACTAGAACGACGGTGCCCGTGCCGGACTGTCCCCGGCAATGGCCTCCGACCCCTACCTACGAGCGTCCTATTCGCATAGCGCAAGTCCCATGCGCCCCGCGACCGCCGCCCCCACCGCCACCACCACCACCACGCCCACAGCAGAGCAGCAGTCTGCCTCCGGTCTGCTCGGCAGCTCCGAGTCGCTGAACCACGACCAGCTGAAACAGCAGCAGCCAGTTGCCTCCCCATACACCATTCAGGGCCCTCCGAATTCGGTCGACGCTGGGAACGTTCCGAGCGCACCCCAATTCCACCTTCGGCAGCACCCTTCTCCCTACCAAGCCCCTCAGCCGTCACCGGCATCGAACAACCCCAACCCCTCGTCCACCGCCGTTGGCGGTCAATATCATGCCCCCGTACAGAGCTACCACATTTCAGAAATGTCTCGGTATGTTTCAGCAGGGAGTCTGCACACGTGATTACATCCAATCCTTTTTTTGGGATATTTGTCTCCGCACAATACAACCTGCATTTCATCCCACGCATTCTGTGCAGTTAACGAGGCTATTTTGCTTGGGCTCGTAAGCGTAGTGCACATGATTTAATTCACCTTGATTAAGGTCACACGAAGGCATTAAAATGTGTAGATTCACTTCGGTTGTAAGTAAGAACTCACGTCACTGTGGCTCTCAACACGTGAAACTCCTCGTTGAAGTAGTCTTTGTGGTGGTTCGGTAATGAGTCAAAATAAAGCCAGGTGTAACTTGTGTGACCGAATTCGTGTTTAGGTGCAGTACATCACCATTCCTTCCCCCACCAGCTCAGTTGCCTTCTTGTTAACTTCCAGTTACCAGAACTCGGCGTCTCCACTGAATCCGATGCGACCGGCCTCCACCGCACCTGGAATGATGATGCCCGAGGATCGGGTTATTGTGTGGGAGGGACAATTGGGTGTGCGCGGACAGGCGATCGTCCACCTTCGTCTTCTCTCCGACGCCTCGGCTCCGTATGTCCATTGCTTCCCCATTCTCGCAGCCTAGTGGCAGGCCATATTCCACGGCTGACACATAGATAAATCCCTTTAATAGTGGTACTACGTCCTTTGACAAAGAAAATTCCAGTGATGCCTATGCCCCTTTCTCTCTTTTCCAGACGAATAAATCTTCAGTGGCAGAACTGTGCGAATCTTATGCTGCAGCTGGAGCAGGTTGAGAGGGACAGTCATCTGGGCCAGATGTTCCTTCATCGGATGCCGAGCTATCTGCTACAATTGCAGCTCTACGTCGCCTTCAAGGTTTGCCATTGATTTTCATGTTCTTGGAAGTTCCAGGCTCTACACATTACTGTTTTCAGTAGTTTAATTGTTGGGGCGTGCCCCGTCATTACCTCTTCATCTTTTGTGTAAATAGTCTTGTTGTTGTGAACGAAAACAGGTGTGTTGGTTAGTGTGTTGATCGCCTTTTCCCGTGGTATCCGCCGCCGCCAATCGTGTGAGTGTGCTTTGTCGATCTAGAACCAGGAGCACGAGATGGCACTGAGCAGTCGCATGCGAAGCCTAACACCGTCGACGTTCACCCTGGGCATACTACCACCACTCAACAGTTGGAGCAGTCCAATATCACCGGGCATTTTGGCTTTCGTGTGCTTCCTGGCCACTGACGATGGGCGAATCATCGGTGAGTTGGCATTTGGTGCACTAGTCGTGGATTTTGAACTTGCATCGTTTGAAATTTTTTTTGCCTGAGATGTGAACTAACCGACTTTGCTGGTTAGAAAATGCTTAGCCTCCAGTGACTCCAAGAAATTCTGGCAAAATTTGCGAAATTGGCGTCTCCGCCTTGATTCTGGAACATACTCGTTGAATAGTAGGTCCGGTCGTAGATAACCTACTTACAATGGACTTATTTGACTTTTGTGATTGCCATTATCAGATTGCCTTGAGGAACCATCACGAGAACTCGATTGTATGACAAAATATTCCCAAACTCAACGTTAAAAGTCGGTCTATAATGATCTTGTAGGCTACTAGTGACATTGATTAGTCCAATTGAATCGCTAGAATTTGCAGTCTAATTGAACCTGTAGCCTGATTACCACGCGTTCCATTGTTGTGTTAGGCTACAGGCTGTTTTGTTACAAAAGAGAAGGAGTTTGTGTCTCTCATGGGGTGTTTAATGCATTAATTAATGACTATTAACGCCCCCTTAAACTTTCTTAATGGAGAGTCGAATGCTTCTGGCTTTCGTTTAGTTTAATTTTGCCATCTTGTTGATCAAACTGGTTTTCCCAAACCTCTACAAGACACAATTTGCGTTAAGGTGTATAAAATCCTTGAAAACGCATGGAATGTACCTAGCCCCTGGTAGGGACGTCGGTTTATTCGGTTGTATTGGTCAAGAATCTAGAGCGCTTCTACCCTTAGGCCTAGTTCCCAAGGATTCTGAAATCTTCCGTGGTGATATCCTTAATCGGCAACTGCACAAACGTCCTCGGCTCATGTCAGAGAAACAGCAACAGCAACAATCGGCTTTCCTGACGCAACAACAACAACAGCAGCAGCATCCGCAGTATGAGTCCAATATCCCAGAAATGCAGCAGCAGCAGCAGCCCTCTCCGGCCTACAGTGTTAACTCCCTATCCCTGCCGAACACCCCTGGCAAGATGGTTCGACTTCCGGCTGTGGTGAGTTAAGCGGTGGTGTTGGCCGACGCATATTAGGTCGCAACAATGGCTTGTGCCCAGCTTAAGTATGGTTGGCGGCTCCGCATCTTTTTCCGACAAAAAATCCAGTTCAAAACTAGATTTTTTGCCGTTGCAACCATTTAAGGTTTCCGCGCATCAGGCCTTCACTCGGCACGGCATTCTTCGTACTTCTATAAGTTCACTGCACGTGATGCCATAAACACCAAATCAGTTCGTGCTTATTGTGGAGCCAACTTAGCAATCAGGCATCGATTTGTTCAAGAAAGGCAACTCAAAGGATACATCGCCTTTACCCACCACTTGCCTTGTGAGCACGCCTGTCGGATAAAACGAATGTTTATCAAGTCATATCGTCCAAGCATGTCCAGTGGGCGTAATGCCTTCCTTATACAAAAAATCCAAACGCATTCGATGAAGGTCACTTTGCTCTCTGTCACCCAGACCGCCCCTACCCCCATCAATCGGGTCAGTGGACCGTCGGCGAGGCTTCCGGGATCCATGATGGACGCCAACGAGATGCCTCAACCGCATCCAACGCCGCCTCAGTACCTGCAGCAGCAGCAGCAGCCGCGACAGCCACCGCATCAAGTGGTGCCTTCGTGGCAAGACCAACGCCAGCCAGGAATGACAGGTGACGTCACACAACAGCCCCAAAGACCCTACTCAATGATGCCCCCAACTCAACAGCAGTCCCAGTTCATGATGCAGTCTGTTGCTGGAAGTCAGGTGAGCGTGATCCCGAATCACGTGTACCTTTTCGCCATGTCACGTGTTAATTTCCAACTTGTCCAGCCTGCCATGTGAAATTGCTTTTCACCTTTAGGTGCAGCAGCAGCAGCACCTTTACCACCAAACTGGAATGGCAATGGGTCAGTCTCCCTACGCACCCCAGGTCCAGCCGAAATTGCCTCCTGGTATGCTTGTGTCGCAGCAGCAGCAGCAGCAGCGTCCTGCTAGTGGTTACCCCAGTCATGCTCCCCAACGCCAGCAGCTGCGCGACGCCTCCGGCCGTTTCCAGAGCAGCAGTGCGGTTGCAGCGGCAGCCTCCGCGACCCCCATGCCGCCAGAGTACCACACACCCCTTCCCCCGTCCTACACCCCTGCTCCTGGCGCCGCCACCCCCGTCTACGAGTACCCCGGTATGCAGCAGACCCAGCGCATGCCCCCAACGCCGGGTTACGTGCGCACCGCCTCCCCCATGCGTCCTGGCTACCCCCAACCCTCTAATCAGCGCATGGCGTCCGCCTACCCCCCGGGACGCCAGCCCATGTCGGTAGGGGGCAGGGGGCTGCCCTCTCGTGGTGTAAATATGCGAGGTCCCATTCCACAAGCCCCAACTCCCTCACACCTCATGATGCCCGGGGACGCGATCATGTACGAGAACCACCAGGAACAGCAAGTCGCCTTTGACCCCTCCCAGGCCGGTTCAGCCCCGTCCCAGCAAAACCTCTTCTAACTCAAGATGTGTACAGCTACCCAGTTTTTTTTCTAACTTAGCGCTAGCGTCTTGAAGTATTCAAAATACATGTGTGTGATTCAAAGCCTTGAACTCGTAGGTATTCACGTTTCGAACAGATGATCAATGAGTCGACCCGGTAGAGGGTTAAACAATCGTGCTACTTCGTTTCTTGATGTTGCATAGGGGTTTTGGGCACTGCTTAATTCGCCATCTAAGCCAATCATGCTCCGTGTTCTCTGCTTGGTCCTAAAGCTAACGTACCATATGAAATTTGTGACCGCATTAACAGATAACTGGTGAGTTAATAGGCCAAACTATTACTAAATACTAGTGAGGATAGTTGTCCCAAGTTCGAAGTGTTTCTGGCATGCGCGGGAAAGGGCTATCCAGGTTCTCAAATGTGTCGCACTAGACGGGTAGTGTTAGTAATTATTTGCGATTGTCTGGCTGCCATGGTGGCACATTTCTTAGCCTAGAATGTCTAAATTATTAGGTGTATGACACATCACAGGTGTTTCAGCAAATTTATGCAATGTAAAACAAATAGGCAATAACGAGCTCAATCTTGCAAATACTGTCCATCGTTTTCTATAACCTTGCGCCATCTATCAGGTAACGTACGAATGCCGTCGCAAATAAAATTTACAGGCTTCGAGGCAATGAACTCATCGACGACGAATTTACGCACACCGTGTTGCTGCTGCTGCCGCATTGGCCGGAACAAGTGGTAGTCTGGTGGGGCCAAGTCTGGTGAATGTGCCGCGTGTGGCAGGCCCTCCCATCCCACGTTCAAGAGGGTCTTCTGAGTCGCGCGAGCAACGTGACGTGGTCGAGCGTTATCATGCAGCAGCAGCGGCAGTATGACTTGCCTGTTTCCTTACCCACTAAATAGCCTTTTCTGATCAAGTTTCTTTTCGGCCAGTTTGTTCAATTGTCGGGTGTGGCGTTGCTCAGTCACCGTCTGATGACCAGTTTGCAGGAGTTCGTAGTAAAGTAAACCCTTAGTGTCCCACCACCACATACACATGATAACCTTCTTCCTTAAGTGGATGTCCTGTTTCGGCATTGATGGACTGCTGGGTGTCCCAGAATAAACCCACGAGGTTTTGCCTTTCCGATTCTCGTAAAAGACATAAGCTTTGTCACACGTCACAATGCTCAATGAGAATCCCATTGACTGGGTGTTGTCGGCGGGAGAGCAGTAAAAGGTGTGTGTTCATAGGTTGACCTGGGAGGTTGTGTTCAGTTAACAGACGTAAGGCTGCCCAACATTCACCTATTTGAGTTATTCTCATTTGTTGGAGCAAGCGCTTGGAGCAAACAGTGTTTGGGTGACTCCTGCTGCAAGCTCTTGTTGTGTTTGCGTAGAGTCTTTATCCAGTAGAGCTTGCAATTGCGGATCTTCTCACTTTTGAGGCTGCTGTCTGGGGCGCGGCTGGTCATTGCGAACGAAACCACCACTTCAAAAACATTTGTAATAATAATTGCACTTTTCATAGGAGACAACGTTGGCAGCACAGGGTACACTACACCTCGATTTCCCCTGTGCTTTAGAAGCAATTTTCCTTGTTGGAATTCGTGTAAAATGCAGTGTCGTCGAATGTACTGTTTACTAGTTGCCATCGTCGTACACTTTGCCATTGTGGCAGGCCATGAAACTCCCGTAGATTTGTCGTTCGGTGTTCTGAAACCTTGCGTCCAATCTTTTCAAGACCACAAAATACTGCGAAAATATTTTCATTTTGAATATAACCTTAAGCTTGGACAAAAAACTGCATATATTAAGTCGCACACCCAATATTTATGGGGTACAAATTAAACTACGATTTGGTCATCCGTACACTGTAACCCAACTGGTTTCAAGCACGTTCCTAGTAAATTCGGAGATAACTTATTGACACTGCCGGTCGAGGTCATGTGTGGCTTAACGACGTTGGAATCAACATTGTTGGACCATCGCCATGATCCGACAGTTTAAGTTACCCACAAACCTGTTTTGACTGTTCGTTATTTGAAGTTTCTTCCATCATCACCACAGGCCGAGTAATTCAAATCACGTCAAGTACGTACCGAAGTCTCATCCGATTTCAAACTACAGCCTGCTATGTAGAGCGCTTTGATGGTCAGTTCAAGGTCTTCTTAAAAACTCAAACATTCAGCCAGTTGGAAGTCAGCATCATTCCTTATCAAAATCGGAACGCCGTTAAAGCTGCCAGAGCAAATCGCCGTGATATTCCAACCGTCATGGCCAGACCATGCTTGAGACACCATTGTGCTCAGGTGTGCTTCTGCATCACGAAGAAATGCTCCAACCGCTAGAACACCATCCAACGAACCTTCTTGAATACTTAAACCAGGAAGACGCGTGCATTAGCCTGATCGCTTCAGTCGAGAAATTTGATCACCGCATCCGTCCAGATAGAGGCCCTGAACCAATTCCCCGACCAATGTTTTGACCCCACACTACGGTCAACCTTTTAGTTACCGGGCGCGAGTCAATTGTTGATATCGCCAATCAGCACACGACAACGACTCCCTCAGTAACTCCAGTGGAAGACAAAACCCGAGGGCAGAAGGCTGTTGGCGATTACCATGGTTACGGAAGAAGACATGCATTGACTTTGCTCAGTGATTTAACTGTCATTCGTGTATCCACGGACACATTGCCACACAAAAACGGACACATTCGCGATGGAATAGGCAATTATTTTACCGACCTCTAACTTATCGTCTTCGTAAGTAGCTTGGAACCGACTTTGACACACCAATAGATCTAACACAACACGACTCGGTTGGTAGCCAAAAGTTCTGCTGTATTCACGTGGTACTCCACTCACTGATAATGCCAAATTTTAAACAGAGAAGCAATCGTATTCTTTAACTAGGAGTCGGATCCCACTTGAGATTATTGCCTATTGTAACTCGTAAACGTCAATAAGGTCTAAATGTCTTGCACACGCGAAGCACAGTACATGATGCGAATGCCTCATTTTGTTAAAATTACCATACAGCCCTGCCTGGCTTATGTGGTTGCTTTGAGCACACCTCGAAAAGTGTAAACAGCTGCTTCGATGGTGTGTCCTTGACATGAATAGCGAGTAAAAGGAAGGAGCGTGCGATTCTCACGTTTGGTTGGAACTAAAACTGCCTGGGCTGCTCGGTCACTGCCAGAAGGTTAATGCAAAGAAAGAACACAATTTTGTCACGTAACAGGTGTTATAAAAATGGTTACACACTGACACAAATGCAGGAATCACGGTTTCCAAAGACGCAGAAGTCCGTCTTCAGAGAAGGTGGCTATGAGGTTTTGATGGGGATGATGTGCAACACCCAGAATCTCTTTTTCATGAACCTAAAAGGTGTGAGCACACAAACAATGCAAATTTGCATCCTGCCAGAAATCAATGCTTGGGACAGAAGAGAAAAAGTACTCACCGGTAGAGTCCTCTCGAGTTTCCCACCGCTGCTGACATTGAAACAGTAAAGTAGCCTGTCCTCACAGACAGCGTAAATCCACTCACCCCTGGAGCTCACCGTGAGTCCCACAAAGTCGCCCCCTTCTCGCTTGCCATTGGTGCAGCTTCGAATGACCTACAGCGGGCCAATAGGAAGACGTGATTGGGTCAAAGCCCTTGTCACCAGGCAGTGATGACCCTCGTTATGTGGCTACAGCCACACACAACGCGATCACCTGACACCCAATAGTAAGTCGCGTTAACTAGCTTACATAATATAATTGATTTTCCCGGAAACCGATAGTAAATTTTTCCTACTGCGCTGCCAAGCACTCTTGATCAGCGTTGAAATCCAGCACGATTTTATGCAACGGTTTTATCGGCATGGGGGTATGGCAACAATGGCTCGCAGTTACAACGGTGTCGGGCTGGAAAATGCCGATGCTAAAGCCGGCATTAAAATCGAGTTTTTAATGACACTCAAAACAATTGAGTGCACTGGCAACTCCGATTACTGGGCTGCTGGGATTACAAATAAGTTTAGTCAGTGCACTGCTATTTGTAAGTGACAATTTTACCATGAATGGTTCGCTTTTGTAGCATGGTGAAGCGACATGTGACGTTGAGGCTACGGTTAAAAAACAGTGCCGACAGGTTAGCATGGAAACATAGACTTAGTATTTAGAGCGTTTGGTGTAATCGAAGAGATGAAAGAAAAAATTTAGCATGATAAAGGACTCTCCGACAATAGTTGTAAAATCGCTAATTTGAATTAGCTGTTCTACCGCTCCGAACGTGACACAACCAAACTATTAATAAAAGAGCATTTAAATATCAGAAGGATGGCGAAATTGTGAAAAGTTAAACCAACGTGCAGATTTTTATGGATACAGCAAATGTGGTTAATAGTGAGATGGAATAACCGTGGGAACTTTTCGGTTAACCAATCAATCAACAGAAATGAAGGCGAATTGGCGGTAGAAGATGCGCTAAACTAGAGCGTACCTGGCCTTGCATATTCATAATCGCGACGGTGTTGGAGCGACTGCAAACGATGAACTGGTCTGCATTGCGCGGCATCGGCTGTACACTCAATATCGGCACCTCACGTCCGACGAGGCCCGAAATGGTCTACCAGAGGAAGAAAAGGGCACCAACCATCTAATAACATTTGATGCTGGAACACCCAACAAGACTTGCCGCATAAGAGGTACGCAAAACACTAAACTAGCCAACATTGCCATTCCGCATTTGACAGGGTAGGAATGATGCCTCTTTTAGAATGGAAAATCGAAACTGGTCGGCTAAAGTGATACCGGCTCCTGGATATCGATCAGTAATCAGTTGTGATATCAAGGAAGTAAGAAAGCGAAGATGACGTACTCACCTTGAAATTACTGATGCATTCTGCTGTACGAGTCGACCAAATACGAACAGAACCGTCGGAGCTGCCACTGAGGACGTGGTGTCCATCAAGACTAAAGGCAACATCATTGACGAATCCCGTGTGGCCTACAAACTCCTTCAGCAGATTTCCCGACTTCATGCCGTGAATCCTATTTTTTTAACACATAGCAAATGAATGAAATTAGAAACGTTTCAGATAGACGACTTGGAAATTATTTGCAAACAGTCCATTATTTAGGTAATCGGATGAAAGCACAAACCATCTTTTACACGAAATAAAACCAAGACTTCATCTCAAACTACTGTGTTGGCCCATCTGATTTGTAAGCAGCCCGACTAATCCGAACGTCCTATGATTAAAAAATCTGCCCAAAGAGCTAAGCGTCGTATCACTGGGTTAACAACGAATTTGAAAACATCGGTCAACTAATCAACACCAACCACCATAAAGACTAGAGCCATGATTAAAATTCCATTTCCTTGCACTTTGTTTCAAACAACGAATCGTGGCATTTCAGAAGTCACTAGTCCAAACATCTACAACGAGCCAAGTTGCAGAAGGTGACTTTTGGCTCTGAACACCAAGTGTCGCCTCGCTTTGATGATCATAACGAAATGTACTTTTAGGAAGTTAATTGCATCCGGATGAGTTGAAGTTTTATTGCATAATTGATTGCGTTATGCAATTAGCCTTGGGAGCCAATACTACAAAGTGAACAAATGCTTCCAGGTAATTAATGCAAAGAAACAAGTGGATTTACAGATACCATAATCACTGACCTGATCAAATGGTCATAGCCAGCAGTAAGGAGGTGGACATTGTCCTTGGAAAGATGGGCTGCAGTAACGCCTTTAGTGTGGGCCTTTTCGAAGCGCCGAAGACACACGCCAGATTGGATGCGCCAGACTTTAATTTTGCCGTCAGAGGAACCGGATACCAGAAGCTCGGAGTCTCTGCTGAAGGCCAGACAAAGCACAGCCTCATCCATCATCATAAAATTCTCCTATTATGAACAGAATACGAGGTACCCATTTATAAACTTACACAACAAGCAATAGCTACTGACAAATTGTATTAACTTTTGATGTACATAGGACAAATATCGAAATTTTAGTGATTCCACGCGAGCGATGTATAGTATTGGTACTAAAGAACTTTATGATACTAATTGGCACAGATGGCCTTGTGGGAGAAGATGGGTGACTTTGGATGATTTGGCGGACACAATCACCATGGTGAAAATATACGCTTTATCTTTTTTAAGTCTAAGCAAGCTGACCTACATTTTAAATTTTAGGGCACACATAATGAAATCGACAAGATTTGCATTTCACACTTCTGTGAGTAGATTTGAAAGGACGAAAGAATGCAAATAACATACCAGGGCTTGGTATTTGAGGTCTTTTCTTAACTTCCCTGTGATGAAATTCCAAACCTCAATAAAGCCGTCAACTGAGCCAGTGACTAGGTACTGTCCATCTGGGCTGAACTTCGCACATTCAACATGCGATTTTTGTCCGAGCTAAAAGAGTTGATAAAGCATGCAGCCTATTCGCAAGTCTTACTGAGTATTTATCAAATTACTACAAACCCTTATTGTTGCTGAGAGCTGTGTAGGGGGCTTTTCCTCCTCCTGTTCTCGAACCGCAGCCTTGCCCCGAAAAACGTCAATTGCTGTGCCAGGAGGGAGGAGACCTTGGTGCTGTTGCCATTTAAGAGCTTGACTCAAAAGAGCTAGCAATCTTGAGGGGGGAACAACACTGACCTCTCCGGATAATGCCGTGGCAATTGCCTGGCGACGTTTCTCTCTTGACTGACCTTCATCATAGGCCTCGCGAGGATCGAAGTACGACCGTGCAAGCAAATTTTCTAGATGCAAATACCGATCTGCATGATTTTGTTTAAGCAACATCATTGGGTCAGTCTGACGTAGAAGTGTCCGTGCTGCTCCTAACTCCCGAAGTTCAATCAATTCAATGACAATCTAGCAAGTAATCTTATAGAAAGCAACAAACCTGTTCATACAAGTCCATGAGCTTATGGTCAGAAAGTTTTAAGTTCTGTACAACTTTCAGGACAGTATCCCAATGACCGCTGGTAATTTCACTCATGAAGCTTTCAACCGAATCAACAGTATTGAGTGAGACCCCGGTTTCCTCCTGCAAAATTAACGAGAATCGTCCTTACCTGAAGCACTTGTAATGTGCGCAACAAGTTGTTTTCTTTTAAGTATTGCTCAATAAGACGTACAACACTAAATAATTTAGAAATGGACAGTGGAATTTACTCGGCAGACTCCAATTCAATTGACATTTGCGAAAAGCTAAAATATACTCACGCACACAAATAGAGAAATTTAAATCTCGCAGTATCTATCAGAGACAATAAAAGACCCAGAAGAAAAACGGCATGTTCTAAATTCTTAAAATATAAACAGTAGTTGTAACTCTGTAAAATTGTCAAATAAACTTTTATTAAAGTGTTTAATGCCCTAAACATCTTAGCTTGACCGTGTAATGTTGCTATAAATTTTATTTGGTGAGAGTAAATAAAGTATGTTATGACTTTATTAATGCATGACAATCCTTCCATCAAAGTTTCTCAGGCCGTTTGAGTATGCACACATTATCTTACCCTTGTTTTAGAATCAAAATAGGCTTTAGAGGTATGTGATAAGTGAAAGTTAACACCATTTATAAACATTTCGTGATGAACGCTGTTGATGGCCCTTGTTTTATCTGCTGACAATCTTGAATAAATTAGAGCATCGGTGATAATTAAAGTTTGACTCTTTAGTATCTGGCTTGACCAATAATTGTCGGTGGACCTTACTGTGTCCGCTTTTAAGTCACATAATTTCTCAATGTAAGAACTGACTTTCAGGGTAAAGTGACCTTAGTTGGTATGTGGACAATCACATTTATAAAATTTGGCATGAATGGGATAATTCGGAAGCTGACTTATACCCTAATTAAGGCCAGACTTTTATCCAATTGAATATATCAGAAGTTTTTTTTTATACTAAATACGCTTAATCTTTAAAGTTAACTGCAGCGTTTTAGTACGAATAGAAACCATTGCCTTTCCTGACCACATTGCATAGCCAATTATACATTAGAGCTTCGATGAATTTACACTTAGAAAAATCTTAAAGGCATTTAAATATTTAAAGGTCAAGACGACTTCATAAAAATGATCAAAAATTTTGCTCAGTATTCATAACTACAAAAAAGTGGTCTACAATGTGACAATTCAGTTCAGTTTTTCTAGGAACCTCAAAATGGTGTTTATGTTATTGATTACGGTATCTGGCATTGGCATGTAGTGGATTAACAGCGATCGCACCTGAGTGAACCCTGGTTACTGACCTGACGGTGACAATGACTCATCCCCTTTTCATTGGTTACTGTATCAAATGCCTGTCATCCGTTCACTCAGCCACACACTAAAACACACTTGGCTGGCGTGACGATAATAAACGGTCGTGTTCTCTCGTACCCCTTCTTCCACTCTTCTCGGGTTGTTACGCGATGTTAACTAGAGGGTTGTAAGGTAGAGCTTAGACCACAAGCCACTATAGGCTTTGAGATCCGGTGGATTTGTATGTCCATAATTAAGGGTTTGTTAATGTAAGAAACAAAATTTGTCAAAATTTTTTTATAATATCCAATAGTAATCAGATCTTTATCACTGATTGATGATTAACTCACTTTGAACTGTTGTTTGCAAACGATTTGGGGATATTTGAAGAAAAATTCTAACTGTTCGCATTTTTTAACTGCAAAAATTGATTTAGCTATTTATACCACTTCCTACCGTTAGTAATAAAAGGTATTCTGGGTTTGTCTACAAACGGCCTACAAGCTCTTTATGTTTTTAGTACCGCCATATTCAACACATGCTACGTATCCAATAAACATTATTGGTGGAAACTTCGTTGTGCACTCTTCCGTCTTGGAGATGTCTAGTGAAGGACTAAAGAAAACTTTAGAGGCCATACCAGTTCTTAAAACAAGGGCTGGACCAAGAGATGGCGATGAGTGGGTCACTCGTCTGAAGGAGGAGTACACGTCTCTCATAAAATATGTGGAACACAATAAGGCAAATGACAGTCACTGGTTTCAGCTTGAATCTAATGCTAACGGGACCCGGTGGTTCGGAAAATGCTGGTTTGTTTTTTTTCTCGGTTCATAACTGAATTCTTCCATCAGGCATATCCATGAGAATAAGAAGTATGAGTTTGACGTGTGCTTTGATATTCCAGTTGCTTATCCAGTGGCAATACCTGAAATAATGATTCCCGAACTCGATGGAAAGACGGCAAAAATGTATCGCGGTGGGAAAATTTGTCTTACTGATCACTTCAAACCCCTTTGGACTCGCAACGTTCCTAAATTCGGCATCGCACATGCCATGGCGCTCGGGCTGGGTCCTTGGCTTGCCGTTGAAGTCCCTGATTTGATCAGTAAAGGTTTAATTACGCATCCAGAGGATTCTTAGATTTGACTTAAAATCCATTTGTACATTTTTACTTTATGTAAGCCCTCTGTCTGTGATTAAATATTCAACTACGAATCAGTATTAAAATGAGTCTTGCATTACTTCTACCCACTATTTTCTTCTGTGATATTGCATAGATTGCATCATAATAGTTTGCTTTGGGCATTTCGAATTTTTCCGAATTCATATTTATCTTCAACTATGCTACACGAAGTATCCCGAAATGGATACGTAAACGTTGGGGAAAAAGAGTGCCCCTTTTTGTTTTCTCTACGCCCTGTCATTGTCCCTAGCTCGTGGTTGCACGCTTTTAATAGTGGTGGCACTGTTATATCGTATTTGTTATATTCTACAAATATACTAAGGTCCAATTCTTTGCTCCATAGTTTATTCAACTTGTTATTAGATTCTGTACTTCGGTCATTTTCTCAAAGGAGTACGTTAGTTGTCCTAGAATCATATCACCAACTTAAAATAGTTTCTGTGTATAAGTGGCATAGAAATAAGCAGAAGTATTTTAACTTAATTTCGTGTCCTTAGGCTGTGTGAGGTTTATCGCACTGAATCAAGATCAGAAAATATTTAATTTTGCGAACTCTAGGATCCCATAGATTACAATCTAGATCAAATTTAGTCGATTCTCCTGCATCAGAATGAACTCAAGGACTTTCTTTAAGTGGATGCTTTAGGATGGTGTAATGGGTGGCATACTTGAGCATCAATACCCACTCATGCTTTTCCGCTAGTACTCTCTTCGCAGAAAGTGCAGTTCGGAGATGGGCTTTGGGGATTTCCTATACCAAAGTAATGTTTTGTTATTTCCGCATGTCTGAAACAACGTATAAATAGGCAGGTTGTGGCGAGTTCACTTCTTCTGTCACCGAAAAGTTGCAAGTGGATTATGTTTGAGGCTCAATAAGTCAGTTACTTGCACTAAAAGTGAATCAGGTGAACACGGGTATCTCCGACGAAGCCGAGAACAGCAGTGGGGGAAGTCCGCCATTTCATTGGAATAACCGTTAGTGTGCCTGTGAGGTTTCTTTCAGCCGCTGGAAATGAGGCTACACAGATGGTGGGAGTGGCTTGCTCTTACCGTCGCAAAAAACATGCAGAAGTTGATTATGTGCGGATAAAAGGCAGCACATTAGCGCACGAACTTCCAGCCGATGGGTCTTTTGTGCTTTTAACTGGCATAGAGCACAAAAGAAGTAATGTGCTAAGAAATCTCCCGCGTGGATAAATGAGCTGTGATAACTTGGGCTGAAGTGAACGCACGAAGAATCAAATCAAAGGGTATGGAAAAAAAGTAGTGTTTCTCATTGATACGACCCTCGTTAAACGAAAGCACATTTGAATATAAGGTAAATGAGATTGCGGTCAAAATAACCAGCCACTGTAATACTTTAAGTTGAAGTAATTCGCATGTATTTTTGTAAAAAAAAACATTTATTCACAGACATGATTCCGTAATTCAGCTAATGCTTCAAAATTTCACAAGTGGGAAAATTTATTGAGTGGTCAGGTTGAGATTTGTGTACCCAAACTTATCTTTCCGGCTCATTGAACTAACTAATTCTAGAGTTAGTTCAATAGTAAATCACGAATTATCTATTTTTTCCTAAGTGCTTCTTATGGCAAATCCGTCCTTTGACATGTCGTTAAAGTATGAAGTGGTCTTGGTGTTAGGTGTTAGATTTCGGGACAGATATTGGCAATAATTATTTTGTAATGTAGAAGTGATGTTTGGCCTCTTAGATAGTTTTATGAAAACTAAATAGGTTCTTTATACATTCGATAGTGGTATCTTCTGATTCGTCTTTCTTAGACAGACTAAAATTAATGCAATATTTCATTATTGTGTTCGTCAATTGACAGATTTTCAAGTCGTTCATTGCAGCAATTTAAGAAATAAACTGCCTCTAATTTGTTAACCTAATGTAAATTTAGTGTTCACACTGTCGTTGTATTCGTTCATCGACGACAGGTTAAGCAATAGTGCCATCAATACAATTTAATGAAATTAATTAAAAAAGGGATTGAAATGTCACCAATTTAAAAAATTCTAATTTACACTTGAAGTATGACCTCCGATCTAAAGATCGATGTTATGCAACTATAATCACACTTTAGGTTGTAGAAATAAATTTGGCAATAAGTAAGTGATATGAATGTTCTTTTAATTACATTTTGCAGTACTAAAACTTACAATCTTTCCTACATTGGCCATAAAAATGGTAGAACTGAGTGTCCATAAGCGCTAAAAAGAACCAAATTGATAAAATTCTTTTTTTTACAAATCTGTGTGGTATAAAGCTTTTAAAAACATAAGACTATGTTACTTAAACCTATTTAGTTAGTGACAACAGAAAAAGAACCTTTGTTAGGTTAAACAACTTATGTTTCTTTATATAAATAGTACAGAAGTAATTAAAAGGGACACTGAAACAAATGACATATATTTTAAGATTGTTTTAAAATCTACACGATAGGAACGATTACCGCACCATTTCCAGGTGTCTTATAAGCCCTTATATTGCAATCTTAATGCAAATAACAATATTACGTGAGGGATCCAAATAAATAAGGATCTCATTTGCAATATCCTTCAACTAAAACTTTCTTCAGGTTGCTACAAAGTAAACAAGTCTGAGATTTATTAATACAATTTTTTTTTCAACACAAGCTAAGTATAGTGCATAACAAGACGTGGCGCATGCAAAAGAATCATGCAATTAACCAGAACAAATATGAAAACTATTGCTGCACATACAAACAGTGCTAAAAATACTAGTGTCACCCGTAATAAACATGCTGTCTGACAGATAAAATAATGGATATCTGTGAAAAGCTAAACGGAATGTTTCAATTTAATTGAAAAACCAAAATTTGCCCCTTAAGTGCTATTAGCCTGCTATTTGCCGCTTTTGAGGGAAAATGATGACATAAAAAATCGTATAATTGAAACTGATCTCAAGTAAATGCACTTTGTAAGTTTTTTTACAAAAACGTATTTTTAATCTTGGTGAGTTTATATAGGTATATTGAATCATTGCTTCGATGTTCAAGGTTACATCAATGTTTCTAGATGGTGTGTCAGGCTGCCACGCTTAATTTAATCATATCCTCTATCTCGGCAGTCGCCGTCGGATCAAGTGGAATCTTTCCTGCACTCTTTGTAGAGGCTCCAAACAAGTGTATTTTTAATGAAAGAGGTAAACCCAGCAAAAATAAGCCATTATTTTGTAAATAGTTTTAAATCGATGGTTATGCTTTGCTGCTGGCAGCCTTTTAGGTGAAGTTTTCCTTCACTTACTACCTGAAACTTTGGATGAATTAGAAGGTACTACGTAACATTTATATTATATTCTCGTTTTTAGCTAACAATCACGTATGGGCACTTGCAATTCTAACCGGAATCCTAGTATTTTATGTCACTGAAAAAATTGCCTTTACATATGAATGCCTAATGGTAACTATGATGTCATGATTAAAATGCCGTAAAATTAGCTTTCAGGATCTTCTAGTCCATCAGTATCATCAACGGCGATGAAAGGTTTTGACAATCCTCCGCCATCCCATTGCAGCATCCCAAAGGTTGGAAGTTTTACTGTTGTTTATTCTGCTAGATAGCTGGATACTTAAATCTGCTTGCAAATTCAGTCGACAATTTCTCTCATGGAGTATCACTGGGAGCCAGTTTTTCTATTTCAGTTCGGGTATGATGTGTGAATATTTAAGCCAAAAAGCCCATGGCTCACTTTCTTTTATTTTATTTATTTTGGTGCAAATACTGCTTAAAAAAGTTATCTTAAGTTGACATGCTTCAAGTCACATGTAGTGTGACTAATTGGGGAACCAAAGATTGTGTAACAGGCAAATTCGATGGGAATTTATTGTCGTAGTTCCTTTGAACTATTTGTTGTCATTCAACTGAACAAAATTTGTGCTGTGGTGAATAACTTTTTTTAAAACGGTTAAAACTTAACGATTGGGTGTGACTTTTAGAAAATCTGCAGGTAAAATCCTTGGGCAGTAATTATTTCTTGTTTCGTTCCAGCATTGTTCTGCCATTAACTTCTATCCATAAGAACTCGGCTACATGAAAGAAACCATCTTTATTTTTAAACTAAACCCCTAAATTTTTTAGGTCTATAAAAGCCAGTTAGAAAACAATTGTTTGTCATTTTTGTTGGGTGGACTTAAATATGCTTAGCTAATCCTGTTGCTTTTCGTAAATTCGGCCTCCAACGTGTGATTTTGTTGGGTTCCATTTCCAAATAGCCGGTAACCTTCAAGTTATTCACGTTAAAATGGACCAAACATTTTAAAGTTTTTTATTACCTGCTTTGCTCGAATGCCTACGAGGAGCTTCATGATTTGATTCATGTCTATGCATTCCATGTTTACTGCACATGCAGGTTGATCCAGCTGTGGCGCTGTTCCAGTTGTTATTAATAAATATAACCATTATTGTTGCTTTGTTTAATCAAAATTCTTTTTAATCAGTTAAATCTCGGCTACCCTTTATGCCATTGATATTTGTTACTAGTGGCCTTTTCAAGTATTACTTTATCTAATTTTTAGTCTGGTCTCGTTGCTACGTCATGTTTGCTTATTCATGAAGTGCCACATGAAGTAACTGACTTCATAATTCTCCTTCGAAGTGGATTTTCTCGATGGGGTGCCATTAAGGCTCAGGTAAGCAAATTTCGAAACTTTAAACCGCGGTTTAGCAACTGATGAATGTTTTTCCTTGTTAGTGTTTGCATAATTTATTCTCCAGAAAGCTGTTTTAGCGATATTCCAAGCGTACCGTTTATAATACACAAATTCAATTACTTTGCTTACTGTGTATTACCTCAAGCCTTTAATTAATTGCGTCCTGTAACTTGATCGTATTTCGTTTCGTGGGGCAAACACTTAGTTGAGAAAAACGCATAATTGCTAATTCAGATGTGGTGACATGTGCTACCGAAGCACAAACGTAATGCCTCGCTGCCATCCCTTTTGTCCAGGATGAGTCTCATTTTGGGTTTGCAATAGACGGAATCAATAATCCAATTCATTCTGTAGATTTCAATCGCCAATAATTGAAAACTGATTATCTATCACCAGGTCATGCAAACGTTGGTGAAATCGGTTTTTTTTACATGGCACGTGACTGCTGGTGCCTTAATCTGAAAACAGTAGTAGTAGTAGAAAAACCTAGTTTCTTGTTTCCTTCTGCGTCGAGTCGAGCCGGAAGTCCAAATTTTTGCTAATCCTCAAACGACCGTTCTTTTTAAGCTTCTCACGGCATCTACCTGCTTAATCGGCAATTACACCATAACGATCTTCCGCCTCAACAGCAAAAGTACGTTAGCCTACTTCATTTTTCTGTACAAATCAGCTGCACCGCGTGTTATCCATTTTTTACGAACTGGTAACTATAATCGAAAATGACTAATTAGCAAATTACAGTGGCTTTTTTTCCAAACTCAAGTGCAGCTTTTTTCAAGTGAGATCAACTCACTCAAATTCACACAGTAATTTTTCGTTCTGCTAATTAAGTATTAAAAAAATTCATTTTCGACTTTGTCTTCTACCTAATATTAATCTAGTTGGTTGATGCAACCTGATAGTTGTAAGACTACTCATGGTTTCACGGTCTCCTTACTTCGAATAGGAATAATGCGGGCTCGGAGGAGTGGGAATGTGTGGTATGTCTGCCAGTACCAGGCCTCATCTCTCTTTAACCTCGGGGTAGTAGCTGGTTGGGTTTGTGAACACGACCTACTGTTGAATACCCATGTTATTACGGGCGTTTTAGCGAGGCATTTCGATGCAGTCTTCAGTAATTGAAATAAATGAAGCCAATTACCATTTCGGACTGGCTGATTTTTCAGGTGCTCGTAGCGGCATCGCTTCATCAGTAGTTCAATTTTTTTCATGTAGGACTATTCATCTCCCTTTCCTTCTCAAACTTGAACGGCACTATTCTCTTGAATTCGGTTAGTCGCGTGTGCTAAATTAGAAAGTAGAGAAAAGTGTTCATTGGCTAGGTCTGTGCTTAAGCATTTAGAGAGCTTTTTTTAAATTTGTGTGGAATTTTCACGCTTGGACCATGCCCTCAATTGAGACTCGAACCCAGCTCCCATCAGCGCCATTACAAAATCCCACGATTAGCGCGCTGTTGGAGCACACTACACCAATATCGGACCCAAAGCATGCGTAGTTAGTTTGATAACCTCATTTGTGTCTCAAAGGAACATAATTTTCCGCTTTCAAACCGAAAGCATGCGTCCGTTGCTTGGACTAGGACTTCTGACTCTCAACCAATCGCTTTTAAGTAAACGTGGCAAGCTAATGGTTTAATCGACCAATCAACCAACCAATCGACCAATCGCTTTTAAGTAAACGTGCTTCATGTATTAATTGTCCGGCGCCACCTTCCAAATCCCACGACCTAATGAATCGAGCAGTGAGCCTGAAAATTTAGCACGCCTCTCTACTCTGACCGCATTTTCCCAGCTGACCCCGTGCTGCAACGCACCCACCTACGTGGCTGCGGTTAGCCTTTACGTGCCCACGCATTCCGCACGTCCCTCCACGTTCGACGGGCTGGGCTTGTGCCCTCGTGTGTCCCCACAAACGACGAGTGATTGGTTCGCCTTGACTTCGTGCTTGGGCTACACGCGCATCAGCATGCGGTGTAGATCCACTTGGCTCAGTGTTAGGTCGCCGGCT